TCGCCCCAGCCGCGGCCATCCCCGGCTCGGCCGCTTGCTTTGAAGGCGCGGGACTCCAGAAACCCTCATTCCCGTCCCACGGCTGCCTGACCGCCGAGCGTAGCCAAGGGCAGACACATCCCGCTCCCTCCGAGAGCGGCAGAGCACAGAGCGCGTGGCAGAGAGGGAGCACGAGCTTCCGACAAGGTCTTTAAGGAAAAGACACCGCAGGACGCCGGCGCTTACAGCGGCTCCAGCACTTCTGGGGAGGAGGGGAGATTCTGGAGGTGCTGCCCAGGGGAGGCACAAGGGCTTCGTGCACGGGACAACCCCGACAGCTCCCAAAGGACTTCCGATTAACGGGAACGGATGCTCATCGTCCGGCCGCTCCGGGGGATCCTCGGGGTGGGAGGAGGAGCAGCACCGCCGGGTTTACTGCGTCTGCCCGGAAAGCGCCTGCAAACCCAGGTATCCAGCTCACCTTCCCCAGGTTCATCGTGGCGATTTTGGGCCTGTCCAGAAGCACCGCCTGGATGCAGATCCTGTACCCGTGCAAAGACTCCCCTGAAACAGAGCACAGAAGGGGCCTTCTCAGCCACGGGCCGCTTCAAGTGTCTCCCTCCCCCTGCGATACCCCCCCAGAAGGTGGCGGGGGGTGGGGGTGGGGGTGACGACCCCCTCTGCACAGACCCGCCCTGCTCACCGACTAACGAACTCTGGGACCCGTGGCGTGGGTCCCGCTCCCTCCCTGGCACTGCCCCCCACCCCCCACTACGGGTCTCCAGCCCACAGGAGCAGGACAGACCCCACAGACCCTCGGAAACCCACCGTCAGCTTCCTAAGGCCCCCCCCGGGCCAGCTCTGCCCTCCAAAGCAGCGGCAGGCAGGCACGCTGACCATCACCGTCACAGCCCCAAGTCTGGGAACTTCCGAGGGCTCGTTTCCCCCTTGTTCAGGTTCAAAAGAGAACGAGGGTTCGTGGAATCCCCATGGATCCCAGGCGCCATCCAGCGACCCCCTCCAGCTCTGCTGAACCCTGGGATGGGTGGCACGGCCGGGGC